TCTGCTCAAGTGTTTGGATTGCATCCCTTCGGAATGTTAAAATGGGACGTGAAAATAGGTCCAGTTTTTGGTGCAATACATATTGCCACCACTGAAAAATTATTACAAAACGTTTACTAAAATATGAGTTTTTCATACGAACAATGTATTTGGAATGGTGAAATGTGGAAATTCACAAATAAAACCAAATAAGTGTGGGGTTTTAAATCTTTGTATAACTTTTCTGTGATACGAACTAGAAATACTGTAGCTGTTGTTACCGGTGGAGTAGTATTCAAGTATTCATTGAATAATTACAAGGAGGAGGAGTGAGCAGAGCTTTAAAACGTTTTGCTTTTGTCAGATTTGTAATGGTAAAAATATAGTCCTGCTGCTTTTGCTAGCTGCTACCTCTGGACAGCAGGCTAATTAAAAATAGTTCCTAAAGTGTCTCTAAAGCTGAACTACCAAAAATTAGTTTGCAGTAGCGTTGAAGATGCAGTGAAATCTGAATATTGATTTGGTCATTTTAGGTAAATCATAAATATTCAATGTTTGCAAGAACTTGCTTTATAGTCTTGTGTGGTTAATACTGTGGTTTCTTTCCAAGTGAATCAAAGTACCAATTGTTTAAATTGCTATAATGCAGAATGTGTACTGAGTGAAAGGAAAAGTTCTGTTCTTGTTTCCTTCAAAATATATTGCATCACTTTAGATGTAATTGAATTGTTGTTTATTTAGAGAGCTGGAACTGCAGTATTTTTAAAGACTATTGAACAGTGGACTCCTGGAATCAGTGGAGGAAAAGTCTTTTTTATTGAAATTGATTTTTTTTTTTCCCCCTTCTCTTCTGTGTATGTTAATCAAGTCTATATACATGAAGAGATGTTCCTGTACTTATCAATGCTTCAGAAACAGAAAGCTAACTTCAGATGAACCAGTTTCTGCTTTGTTTTCCACACAATGTCATTGAGTTAGAAACTAACATTTTGCTCTGTTAAATAAATTGAAATAGGATATATGGTCAAAATGCAAATTCAGTGCTCCAACTGTAGCATAGAAGAACCTCATTTTGAATAAATATGTAGCAGTTCAATACCGAAGTGGTTGACCGTTCTGCACTTGACTATTCTTTTATGATTCAGTTCCAAATGTACATATAAGAGTTGTGTTTTTTATTAATGTGTAATAGCAAAGGATAAGGAATGACAGGCAAGTGAAAGTGTCGTCACAGTCAGCAGTTCCTGAAGATATTCTAAGATATTCTAACAGATACAGAAAAGTAGGTAAGAACAGGAAACAGTGAGGTTATTTATCTGTTGTGCTATCCAGTGCCCAGGGACAGTTTAAAATATACCTGATAGGCTCAGTACCTTAAGCTGATACTATATTGACAGTAGCAGACCTTCAGGCAGGAGAGTGATTTCTCCTATATTAAAAAAACACATCCACCTGCCTTCTTTCTTCCCACAGCGTTTGGCTTGTGATGACTTGTAGGGAAGGGCAGAAATCTGAGGTTATTTTTCCCCTCTTGCTCCACGTGCCCCCCCCAAAGAGAGTTACAAGTTAGGAAGCTTGATGGAAAAATCCAGGTATTTAATTACAGGAGAGCATTTACTCTTTCGAAGTAATGCTGTGGCTGTTGAGTTCTCAACCTATGAAGGGGGGGGAACAATGAATTTGTGATAGTTATTTTAGAGTAATCTGTACAGAGTTGCAGAATTTGAGAGATTGTCTGTCATTTGAGGTAGGACTCAAATAATAGTCTTTGGCTGATTTGGTTAGAAGCTGGTGTTAGTTGAATTTACCAATGGTTTATGCTTGTTTGTTTTTTAGAAGCTAAGCTTTTATTTACAGAAAAACTTCTTAAGTCTGAAGGTAACACTTCATCGACATTTAGGAGCTGGCTTCTTAAACATGTACGGTTCTGGGATTTCTTTTATTGTTGCTGTGTTTTGTTTTTTCCAAAGAAATAGAAAAGTGGAAAAAATTGTGTTGGGTCTGATAGTTTTCTGGGAATCCAATGGGCATATTTGACTGAACTAACAAATTATTTCATCTGGAGAGGCACTATTTATAAGGGCAAGTAGCGACAGGACAAGGGGTAATGGTTTTAAACTGAAAGAAGGTAGATTTAGGTTAGGTATCAGGAAGAAATTCTTCACTGTGAGGGTGGTGAGGCACTGGAACAGGTTGCCCAGAGAAGCTGTGGCTGCCCCCTCCCTGGAAGTGTTCAAGGCCAGGTTGGATGGGGCTTTGGGCAACGTGGTCTAGTGGAGGGTGTCCCTGCCCATGGCAGGGGGGTTGGAACTAGGTGGTCTTTAAGGTCCCTTCCGACCCAAACCATTCCGTGATTCTGTGTTCTTGGTCTAGTAAAAGCTTGAAATGTTTCTTAAGGAGAACCTGAAATCATTTTTGGATGATAAGGTGTGGTAGGAAGTCCACTGCTTCAACGTCTCAAAATTGCATGGAAGAAGCAGACGAGACTTCTCCCAACAAGCAACCTGAGACACTTTCAAGGGGACAAAGAGCAATTCAGTGTTGGCTGAGCCTCAGTTTGAGAGATGTTGCCCAATTTAAATTCTTGTTCCTGATGAGTGATATTGTCCTTCATATGTTGCATCTTGAATGAAAGTTTTAAAATCAGTGTGTGACAGTATGCACAGATTTAGTGAGTGTGTACAAGGAAGGGGTTCTTGCAGGTTGCTGCGGATAGCGTAACCTACTACATGCTTTTCTAGCATAGAAAATTAATTGCTAAGTATAGAACACACCTCTTACTCACTTGACTTTAAAGGAGGAGTCATCGTCCAGGAAAGGGTGTGTGTGTAACCACAAGTGTCTTTTATCCCGTTTAGTAAAATTTTCAAGACTGTCTTATTAAATAAATAACATGAAATGTAGAGGTTACCTGAAGTCAGTTTGTGAACTAGTTCTTTTTAAGAGCTATGCAGCAATTAGAAAGTTGCCTTACCATAATCCTATAATTATGCCCTAATTGGATTCTTCTAGGTATAATTACATACCTTGAATATGTGCATGCATTTTTATTTCCTAAGAAATCTGCCCGAACTGATCCAACCTTTTTGTCCCGTCTCCACATAACATTTGGGTTTATGATGTGCTACCTCTAATAGTGGATTGCAAGAGGTAGTAGGTAAGAGGCTTCAAGTGATACCTACAGAAGTAACAGAATGCCAGCTCCTAAGATGAAGGACTGAACACCACACCCACAGCATCAAGCTTGTTGCAACTGTCTCTTTGATCATAGCAAACATAGTATCTTGTCGGAGTGGATTAGTAGAGCCAAAATTTTAATGCAATTGCAGCTCTTGGTTTCAGATTGATGTGTGAAGAAAGGGGAAGCTGCTAGAACGATGAGGGGAGAAAAGGTGTGGATAGGCTTGTTAATTTTTGCATTTTTCCTTAGGAGCTCTTTCTAAAAATAGCTGCACGGAATGTTACATGGAACTCAGCCATAAAGAAAATCACATATTTGACTAATGTATTTTATACTGAAGTCATCTCAACGTTTCACTCTGTTATTGATGATAAATGTCCAATCATTTGATGAAGGACAATAGCACAGAATACTATAGTACTAAATGCTCAGCCTTCTTTCAGGGACTTCCCACTCCTTGACTTTGCTCAACTCTCTACATGTCTGATCTGCACTGTATTTATACTGAAATTATTCTTTCCTTGAGCAAATTGAAATCTAAGATGTGACGTTCTCGTGTCTGCTTTGGATCATTCCTGTATGTAACGTTTTGCAGCATCTGGAAATTGTAGTTCAAAATGCTTAAGAATCATCTTGAAAGCTAGAGCCCAGGAGGATATAACTCTATGGTTCATCAGTCTTTTTACAGAGGATTCCCAAATACTTTCTGTAACTAAGGGTGGCTCTTCTAGGTAAAGACCTTCCTGTTTAGGGTGTGAGAGTGCAACAGAGAAATCTTGATGGTCACCCTGCCCTCTCTGAGTTTGCAGATTCCTACCTCCTTACTGTGGAGTTATTTAGGTATTTGTTAGCCACTTACTGGTTTTCAGTGTTTATTATGTATTTGTGAAATGACTTAGCTCAGATTCTGGTTGGTGACGTATGTAAAATATGTTTGACTGACATTACCTGCTAGCCTGGAGAGGAGTAGATTACCTCATATGTATGGAGGCTAAGTTGCATCCTTGTCCTCTTTCAGCGATCACATGCATTCATTCCATGGATGAACCTCGGAGCCCTTCATCATTTTTTATAAAGGAAGATCCTAATTAATTGGGGTTTTTGTTTACCTTGTTAAGCATCAAATCTGGGTCATAGAGTGAGTTTGTAAGCTAGTATGAAGACATATATATGTAGATTTATAAAGAAAAAAGTGCTGAAGGGTTCTGAGATGCATTCATGAAATGAATGCGTATGATCTCTGAAAAAGAGGACAAGGAGGCAAGGCTCTGAGCTACAGACTGCTTAAAATATGGAGAGGACCTAGGAGAAATAAGCTGTTTGCGGGCACTGTTTTCTCCTCAAGCATCTGATACTAGCCCCTGTTAAGAGACAAGGTACGAGCCTAGGTAGTCCTTTGGAACGATACAGATAGTTTTATAAACAGCTTTAGGAAGCCATTGTGACTTTTTAAACTCTCTGAATATAAGGAGCCATTTATTAGAGGTTAAATTTGCATAAACATAACATGCTTCTAACTTTAGTCTTGTTTCTCTTGTGTATATGGTCACTTTATGGAAATGAGCCATTAACTTATTATAGTTAAAGATAATTGCTGTTTGTAATACTTTAGAAAAAGATAATTTGCTTAAGTCAGACATCAAAATAATTGACATTAAAACTGTAGGCCAAAATTTATTATTGCAAAAAATAAAACAGAAGTCTGGTGATATTTTTATTGAGAATAGCCTGCATCAGATAAATAAAAGCATAGTAATTTCTGTAACAGGACCATGGCATTGTATTTTGCTTGCTCATAACTCTGTACAACATTGTAATGGTGGTATTATTTGCTTTCCATTAGTTTGCAGAGAAGCTGAAACACTGTAGTGTACCCTTGGGCAGGACAAGTAAGGAATGAGCCAGCCTTGGAAAAGAGGACCTACCATCCTAGCTGGAGACATCTGAAGAGAGGACATTTTAGTCTTGTGGAATGCTTCAGTAGAAATTACTCAGAAAAAGTAAGCTGGTTTTTTTTTGTTACTGGACTTATATGTGTCAGCTCCTTGACAGGCTGCTTAGTTGCAGTTAGAATTTGACTTGGAGTTTGAAAAATTACTCAGTTTTGAGGAGGTTTTGTGGGAATTTACTTTTTTCTTCCAATAGAGTCCTAGAAGACCCAGGGTCTTTTCGTATAGTTTTTATACATCACATCTCCCGTACTTTGTGTGTTGATGAAGGTGCTCTAGGCTGTGCACCCTAAGCTTACAAATTAAATATATGTTTTAATATTAAAAATAAATCATAAAAGGATAATAGAGAAGTGGGATCTGGCAAGATTGTGGACTAGCTCCTTCTAACATGGCTTTAGGCTGTATTTATGTTAAAATGCAGTATTCTGATGGTTATTGTTCCCTTATTTATACCTGAATTGAGGACCTAAGTAATTCAAACAATTTTATTTTTAGAACTTGCCCTTGAATTGGATTAATTTTTAGCCTTACTATTCAATAATGTAATTTTCCCTGTTGCCAGAAGTGACTTAAGTGAACCCAGCCCTCCAAAAAACAGAGCTTTACTGTTTGATAACAGTTCTCATATGAAGCCGGTTCTGATTAAACCTTGTTATACAATATTACTCTTAATTTCAGGAAAAATATTCTGTGGTCAAATTTGTTAAGTTCTTAATACCACGTAGTTGCAATGAAAGTGCTTCCACAGCCATAATGTAGCAGAATAGCAGTTCTAGATGTTTTTCCTCCTTGCTGAAGGATTAGCTCTTCAATAAAAATCTACATGTACATTCTCATAGTAGCTTACAAACAAGCTCTATGACCTAGATTTGACCTTAAAAAGGTAAACAAAAAAGGATTAATTAGGATCTTCCGTTAAAAACAGAAAGTGAGACAGCATCGGTTTAGTTGATACGAATCTTTAAGTGCATAATTGTCCTGCATTCTGAGCACATGCAACTGCAGTTGTGCTTATCTTTGAAGAGTTTTATGTTGCTGGGTTGCACTTGCTTAGAGATAAGGCTTTATTCCTCCAGCTGTATTCATTTTGCACATAACATTTTCCTCTGAGTCATTAAAAATCACATAGGAATTTCAAGATAAGGCATTTACTCCTTTCTTTTCATATCCTGCATTATTGTCTTGATCTAGTAAGGAGTCCGAGAACCCTCAAATTAATGGGTGACCTATTGAGCACAGTTCCAATGTTAGCATTTTTGTGCTTTCAGTGAACAGGTGAGAACTTTCACTGTGTTTTTAGTTTACTAATAAGTTAGCTCATGGTATCAGAATTTGATTTGTCAAAACACATTGCATTTTTAATCCTAGCATTGCATTTTAATCCCTTCTAAAATCTCAATTATGATACGTGACTTGTATAGAAGTTACTTATCTTACAGGTTGTTTTAATCGTTGGTTTTTTACTCTGAAAAGGATAACCTTAAAAAGTGTATTCAGGGAGAAGTAGCTTTTTGTAGCTGTAGCGTGCTCTGCTGCTGTGCCTTTTTGCACAGTGGTATCTCATTATGGGAGCACTTGAAAATTCAGATCCTTTACCTCAGCCGTGGTTAGTGAAAATTAATCAATACATGGATTTCTCTTTCAGCTCTTCTGTTGTGAGATACTGATTGGGTTGTACTCGTGGGTATTCTGAAATCTCAATAGCTTTTCTTCCCCCCCTTATCTAATAAATTTCTCGTTATGAAACTAGGTTTGTTGTAAAATTCTGTTGCAAAATATAACCTCAAAAGTGTGAGGATCCCAGAAAGCAACTTGTTCACAACATTGTTAGCATGGATCTCACAGATAGATGTGTACTATACAGTAAAAAGACAGTTACCAGGTGGTAGGCAATGCTGTGTCTGTATCTGGCATGCTGATTTGAGAACATGGCATGCAGATTTGTCTTTAATCTCAGAGAAGGAAATTCAGATATGAAACTGAAACATAGGTGGATACAATTACGTGCTACTTCAGGAAAAAATATTTGAGCTATAGAGCTCTTAAAAGAGTGAGTTGATAAAAAATGAATTAAAGAGGCATTGGTCTTTTGAGAGGAATTTATAGTGATATAAGGGAACAGACAAATATATTTTTAAGTAAATAGTGCTTTATACATTATTGTAAAGATAAATACAGATACTGAAGCATAAATTTTTTTTTTTTTTTTTTTTTAAATCCCAGCATGTTCTCATAAGATGTTTAAAGCAGTGGAGGCTTTTACAGTTAAATGAGGCATTTTCTCTTGAGGTAACAGTTTTTGCTCGAAATGTATATAATACTAGAAGAGGCCATCCAGGGAGGTTGTGGTATCTCCATCCTTGCAGGTTTCAAAAAAACTCTGCTACATAAAGCCACGGCTGATCTAAACCAGTACTGGTGGTAGTGCGACGTGGAGCAGGAGACTGGGCTACGTGACCTCTAAAGGTCCCTTTTGGCCCACATGCCTCTGATAGTTATGCATGAACTATTCCTAGCTGCTTGTACAACAAAGACTAGTTTCACTGAAAGGCTGTTTTGCTGAATATCAGTCCTATGCCTCAAAGTTCCTTGGGAATTTAAATGAAAAAAGGCACTTTTTTAGGCCCCTTCCCCCAAAGCCCATTCTTCTCCCTCATTTGATATCTGGTGTTTGGTTTTGATTACTAATAAATAAGAACGTAAAAGGAGAATTACCCTGAAACAGACTGTGAGAGATTGCCATGACAAAAATGTAGTTGAGAAGGCATTTGCATATTTAGGCTAGATTTTTTCATCTACTGAAATCCTACACAATGCCAAAATGATACAGTTTTGCATTCCCTGCTCTCTTACAGTTGGTTACAAAAATCATCTTTAATGACAGAAATAAGATACGGCCAGAGAAGATAGAGGCAATGACTTCACAAACCAATCAAATCATGGTTGTGTGTCTTCTGTGATATACCCCTCTTCCTGCTGGGCTGCAATGCTTCCTTTTGAGATGCACTCAGCTATATCACTTGATGTTTAGGAAGAAGAAATCTGGAGTATCTTTTGAAAAAGCCACCTCAGTTCTCAAATCCGTTTCTTTCTGCAGACTTGTGGTTGTTCTGAGCCCAGTTTGGGGAATGGTATACTGCGGTGCATGGGCAGTAAAAAACAGAGTGGGGGAGTACTTCAGCTGGGTGCTGCTGCCAGGCATATTTTTCTACTGTGGAAACCCAGTCTGAGGTACTGTTCAGACAATCCCTTAATCAAAGGGACGATCACCAGTACTGTGAAGAGAGATTGTTTTTTAAGTTCAGTGTTGCAGCTAGATCGCCTCTTGAGGAAAGAATCATAGCTTCTTTAAATTTCCTGAGGAGGCCCCAAAGTAGCTGATTGAAGGTTTGTTAATCACCATTACTTCAGGGAAACAACAGAGGAAATTCCAAAATTTGTTTTGTAGCTTGGCATGATAACGTGCTGAAAATGAAACGGATAAAGATTGGTGATTAACAAAAGAAATTCTCCCAGTACTCAATTTAGTCTGTCAGCTCAGGAAACAGAATGTTAACGTGTCAGTCCCTTTGAGTTGGGCTTCATAAAAAGATACCTTAATTTCAGGTAAGCATCTCATTCTGTGGATGTTGAGGTCAAAGGTGACGTAAGGTGCCAGTTTAGGCTGACACAATAAACTGATTTAAATCTTTGATCTCTGCAGGATGGCTGGCTGTGGCGAAATAGATCATTCGATCAACATGCTTCCCACAAACAGGAAGACAAATGAGTCGTGTGCTAATGCAGCACCTTCCCTGACAGTCCCCGAGTGTGCTATCTGTCTGCAAACATGTGTCCATCCAGTAAGTCTGCCTTGTAAACACATTTTCTGCTATCTGTGTGTGAAGGGAGCGTCTTGGCTTGGGAAACGATGTGCACTGTGCCGGCAGGAGATTCCAGAGGATTTTCTTGACAAGCCGACCTTACTGTCACCAGAAGAACTCAAAGCAGCCAGCAGAGGCAATGGAGAATATGCTTGGTACTATGAAGGTAGAAATGGTTGGTGGCAGTATGATGAACGTACCAGCAGGGAGCTGGAAGATGCCTTTTCCAAGGGTAAAAAGAGCACTGAAATGCTAATCGCTGGGTTTTTATACATAGCAGATCTTGAAAATATGGTTCAGTATAGGAGAAATGAGCACGGACGCCGCAGAAAAATAAAACGGGACATAATAGATATACCAAAGAAGGGAGTGGCTGGGCTGAGGTTGGACTGTGACGCTAACACTGCCAACCTGGCAAGAGAAAGCTCAGCTGATGGTGCAGACAGCACACCGACTCCAGGGGCTGCAGCCGTGCAGCCTCTAGCATCCATTTCTCCTAGGCCCCTGCCGTCACTGGACGGTCAGCTGATGAGCCCTTCCACGCCATCACCAGATGCGAGCAATTCTCTGGAGAACTCTTTTGCCCACTTACAAATAAATGGAGACAGTATGGCTGAAAGGAGTCATAGGGGAGAGGGAGAAGAAGACCACGAATCGTCATCTTCTGGTAGGGTGCCAGCCCCTGACACCTCCGTTGAGGAGACCGAATCGGATGCTAGCAGTGATAGCGAGGATGCATCTGCCCACCTTCAGCAACGCCCGTCCTCTGTCCAGCAGAGACACTCGAATGCAAGTGCAAGCCAGTCAGGAGCGGATAGACCAGTGGCAGGGGGCGGGGTGGTAAACACAAGTGTAAGATCTAGAAGGCCAGATGGACAGTGCACCGTCACTGAAGTTTAAATCTAGAGCCATGCGATTAAAAAACTCGGTCCTGTATCTGTAAATTTTCTGTCCACATTGGCATTGCACTCAAACCTAGCCGTGTGTTTGGTGGGAGGGTGGGGTGAAGGGGAGAAGCAGATTTGGCCTGTTTAACTTAAGTCTCTTAACATGTCTCAGCTGGAAGACTCTAACTGTAGGAAACTGGGTTGTCCTGTTAATGGTTTGAAAGCTGCTTAGCAATACCCAGTTTTCTTGAAACTGTCTTGTGTTTATTTTGTAGCATTTTTCCCCTTGGAGATACTCGATCCCTTTTTGGCCAATGTATATCTACTGTACAACTTGAATTGTCTTCATTATCTGACTGTTGCATTAAGTGTCTTACTACTTTCTGCATGGATTGATGTATGAAAAGAACACTAAAGCAATGTGGGAGCAGGCAAGATGTTGGATGTGAGCAGGATGCTTAATTTAATGTGAGAAAATAGATGTGAGTTTGGAGTTAAAATATGTTTTTACTAGACAAGAGCAATCATTTACCTTCCTTCAATGGAAATGTAAAAATGCTGTTAACTTTGGTTGCAAATTCTTACCTATACACTCTTCATGGCATTTTCACTGGCTTTGCCATCTAGTCCTTGTAGTTTTGTTTTTGAGGTCTTTCTTGATCTGTCTTGTTTTTGTTACGGAATTTATAATTTAATAAAACTACATTTTATCAGTAACAATCTTAGATATGTCTCCAGTTTAATTGAACGTCACTGGATGAACTCTAAAGAAAACTATCATAAAACAACTTCCTGTGTTTGCCAAAAGGCTATCTTGAAGTTCTTGCATCCCTGACTGGCTGTCTCTCAAACACCACCATAGGAGTATGTCTTTCTACTGAAAAATCATGAGTTGCAGGCTTAACGCTCATGTGGCTTTAACACGCCTCATCTGAAGAGCTGATCAACTTGCCTCACTGTTAGAGCGGGCAGAAGTATCACACAGAGCCTTATTTTAACAGCAGAAATGTTGAAATAGAAGAGCTCAAGTTATCAAACTTGAGTCCTATAACAGAGAAGACAGATGTGAAGGACTATATGGCTGTTTATCTGTTCATAGCAAAACAAGCGGCAGCACAGGAAAGGGAATTTTGTGCTTGTATTAGAAATGCGTCTCCCAGATTGCTACAAACTGACTCGTGTGTGTTAGAAAAGGTTAAAAGCCAGATCTTGAGAGGCACAGCTTCTCAGAACAGAAAACAGTCTTTTCTGTTTATGGCAGCTGGTTTACATTTTTTCAAATTGAGAAACAGCATTAGTTGATTCTGGACTCAATCTTTAAAATAAAGCTAATCAAACTCCAACTCTTAGTATACTTATCCCTGAATAGGAAGGGACACTAGCTGATACATAAGTGCTACACATCTTCAGACAAAAGTTGCTGTAGGCAACCAGTCATTTGAAGGGAATTAAAAGGGCTGATTTTTAAAAATGGTAGATTTAAACTTCTAAAATGTTCTCCTTACTGTACTGATGGCTGATGTGTCTAGTCTTGGGCAAAGCTGTGTCAGTCCTTGAATTTGTTTCCTCTGCCCACAGGTGAGATCAGTGGGTCAGTGAACAAAAAGGAAGGTGCAGAGGAGACTAGGAGGAACCAAGTACTTCTTTCTCAGCTAGGAATGGATGATCTTGATCACAGATGTTTTTGCTATCACCTTCCAGTTCCATAAGAAAATAAACCAGTAACATGGAATGTTTTTTTTCTTCTATTTGTTAGCTGCCAGCTGTCTTATTTCCCTGTTTTGAGTTAGCACACAGTGGCTCTAATCAAAGCGACTTTGTGCTGCAAAAACCTTGAGCAGGAACACTTCTGCTGCATGCACACGTTACTTCATGTGAGGGTATGTACTGTTGAAGAAAGCACGAAGCAAAATACAAGAACTTGACTCGCTATATACTTAATTTCATGATTTTCAGCCCAAACAGTCAACAAATAATTTTATCAGTGATTATCCTTGGGGTTCTTGACCAAAGTAGAGAGGCAGACTTCTGTTCAGCTGAACACCCATGATGCTACTTTTGGCTCCCGCTGGCTGACTGCAGCTGTGAGGTACTAAAATTAGTCAAAGTAAGGCTGGTGAGAGCTTAATAGCCAAGCATCAGAGTGGCAAATTCACTCCCCAGATCAAGCTAGGAAAAAGTAGTAACCAGTAATTCTCATTTTATATTTAAATCATTAACTTCAGTAGGAGACTTGTCCTCTGTCAATTTCAGCTAAGCCACAGCCACACTGCATTATGTGGTTTTCTGCAACTCCATACATCAAGTGATTTTCAACTTGTACAGCATAGCTAGAGAAATGCACAGTGGAGCAGAATGGAAAGGAAAAAGGAAATTAAAGTACTATAACATCTACCACATCTCCATTTCCAGGAGAACAGATAACCACAGATACAGGAATCCTAACTCACAGTAAAAAAATAAAAATAAAATTACACAGTGAACCAAGCATTCAGCAAGAACACCTAGATTGCCCATTTGGAAAGTATATTTCTGTCAGCAGCAAATATGATAAAGTAGCTACATTTAAAAGTGATCTCCAGTATCCCACCTTTGAACACTTGGTGCACGGTCCATGCCCCCATTAAGCACTCGCACTGTCCCAGCACAGAGAGGCAAGGCAACAAGATGGCATTTCACAATGTAATAGGAAACCTAGTTTGCTGGGAAGGGAGCTGGCAAACTAGCCCCTAGGAAATAAAAAAGCTAGCGCACCATTTAATTAGGAGACTGGGAGTATCAGTTTCAAGGTTTCTAATTTATTATTTTGTGCATTTAGTGCTTGTTTGTTTTTAGGCCATTTCTGGAGGGGAACAAAACAAGAGATGAAGCTTGTAGTCTTTAATAATTGTAAAGAAAATATAAATGCTTATCAGCTGCTGGTTACAGGTATTTGTCACTTTAAGATGATAAGTATGCAAGTATTTTATGAAATAAAGCATTTAGGTTTGAAATTGGTAAAAGAGGATTCCATTTCAGCTCAGTCTGGAGCGCTCATGGTAATTTAGTTAGGCTGGTTTTCATACAAATGCCTGTACTTGCTTTTAAAACAGAAAAGGATCTAGAGAACATGGTATTGGGCTGCCCACAAAATCCTTGATCAAAACAAACACCTGTAATTATCTTCAGAATCTCCTGTAGCTATCTTTGGTACATTTGTGATTCCAACAGACCAGAGGACACAATGAGTTTCTGTAACCTTTTCTGAAAGAGTCTTACACAGTACTAGTTAATTATTTGTCCTGTTCTTAGAAGCAGACATTAGCCTTTGATACAAATCAGAGAGGATGGCTGGGGAAATGCATTTGCTGAAGGGAGAAGTAAGCTCATCATCTACAAATCAAAATGGAAAGAGGCCCCCCAGTAGCTGTACATACTGAGTTTCTCTTACTGGCAGCACAGCTCTAGTTCAAAATGTGCAAGTAAAACAGATTCTGCTTTTCTGCTACAATTTCCTCCCTTTCAAATTTATATCACCCAGTGCACAGGATACATTAATGAGCCTTACAGCCTGGCACCTGAAAAATAAAAAAAAATATTCAAGGATCTTGAACCAGAGGAAGAACGTAATCACACCATTAGTAATGGCAAATTTATTCTTGTTACTAGCAAAGACATAACCAGTTGCCCTTTAAAGCACAATTTTTTTGACTCACAACAATGATGTGATGTGCTATTGCTTCAGAAAGTTGGATGAGTATGGACTGGAGCATGCTCTGAAGGTTCAGTGATGCTGGCAGTCTAGAATCCCTCACAAATCTTGAGGAACTTCATGAAAAGCAGCACAGCTTCATTACTAAACAGTCAAGAACTGCCTAACTACATTAAAATATCTGTACCTCAGAAGTCTTGGGTTTGAAGTCCTTTAGAGCACAGGAAAGAATCCAGCTGGACAGGGGACTTAACAACAGATATGTTGGATAAAAAAGGGTGGGGGGAGAAGGAGGCACAAACCAGATCACTACTCTCTCCCTGTTCCCATTCCCGTCTCTTCTCTAACCTGGAAGTAAAAAAATAACTTTATTTTTGGGGAAGAGAGGTTGGAAATCTTCCTCTGGCAGCAGCTTCAGGTGTGAAGCAAACAGGATCATCAGAGCAGAGTAAGCTCCTTATCCTCCCTGAGGTGCCAGCTCAAAACACATCCCTTCATTTCTTTTGGTTGCTTCAGGCTATACACCCTCCCCGCTGTGAAAGCCATATAGTAAAACATCCCCAGCAGAGCACAGCATCTGCTCAAAAGCTGCAGAATCTTAACAGGCAATCCAGGCCTGTAAATTACCATCATTGATCTGTCCCAAGATCCTCAAACATATGTACAGTTACCTCGCTCTCTAAAACTCGGGAACCCTGCAACACTAGAAATCAGAACATGAATTTCCATCCAAGGACTCACCTCCTTTTCCTAAGGGAGATTGTACCATGTGCCTAGAGTTAGTGATGCCTGGTCAGATCGAGAACGCATGTCAGTGGCACAGAACCCAGAGCTTCCTCCTTAACGCGCTCCCCTGGGGTACATGGGTCCTGGGCTCAGATCTCATCCCCTCCTGGATTGAGACATGTGCGTCCTAATCACCAGTACAGGAATCTCTCAGCCATGGATACGTCTGCATGTTTGTGCTCTCACAGATGTTTAAGAATCATCTGCCAAAGCAGGCACTCAGTTTCTAAAGGGAAAACCCTCCCCACTGAGTTACCTAATTACTTGCATAGTCACTGGTATGAAGTGGAGACCAAGTTCCAAGTCTTCGGGTCTTTTGCAGCCCAAATATGCCCTACCAGTAAAAATATCCTAAAATTAAGACACAGCCAGACAGATCCATACATGTCTTTCCAGAATGCTGAAGTACTTAGACTACCCAGTCAAGGAAATCCCAATTTTGGGTATGATTCATCATGGCCTTCCAAGATTTCAACTAAGTTCTAGGTAAAGAATTAGGTCAGCATCTTCACACATGCTCAGCAGCACAGGTACAGGCTATGGGAATGTGCAGATGCAAAGCGTAGATGTAGATGGTTTCTACCGCAGTGAGGTAGACATTTAAATGCATTTAAGGACTTAGATCCATGTCAGTGAACAAGGGCTGTAAGCTCCTCAGTGAGTTAGAGCTTCTATAAAAATCACCATTAAAATTGAAGTATCCTTGGATACTTTCTCAGCAATTATACCAAGAACAGACTGAAGATGAAAAAAAACAAACTATCATCTCACCAGTTGTCATCCCTTCAAAGCTGCTTTAAGACACCAGTCGCATGGTGGGGAACTCATATTTTGCAGCTTTAGATGCACCTGTTCTGCAAATAAATAAATCTCATATCTTTCAAGCAATTCATTTCCATACCAGTTAGAAAAACAAAATTAACTCCCAAAGAAATAATCTTCAGCCTCATTCCAAAAGAATTATAGTTCTATTCTCAGCACAGTATTTACCTTTACATACTAATTTCACTAATCTCCATTCAGTAGGTGATTAGGACAGTAAAGAATCTGCCAGGGATTTCTCTGTGGTTGCACACCAAATACATCTGCCTGACATGAACGACAGGAATGTTAATGCCAGTTTAAATAACAAGTCCTTAAATGATTCAGTTTAATGCCTGCTTTAGTGAAAGCTTTGTTTGCAAAAAGGTCAAGAACGTTTCTTATGCATCGACCATCATTTATGTTTTGGTCTCGTAACCAACGCCTGCAAGTTGGCAGGCCCACCCCATACAGTTCCGAAAATGTCCTTCTCTGTCCTTAGGGCAGCTTCCAGTGGTAGCTCTCTTCCCGCTGTCACCACTTTTTTCACAGCCCGAATCACGCTGGCTGGACCCTCTGTGTACTGACTCAGCCAGGCTTGGGCTTCTTCTAACGCTCCCGTTTCATCTGAAGACGACAACGTCTCCTCCGAGAGCCCAAGGCACAGAGCTCTCTCGGGGTCCACCCTGGCAGCCCCGCTCAGCAGCCGGAGGGCAGCCGCGCTGCCAACGATCCGCACCAGCCGGGCAGCTCCTCCCCAGCCTGGCACCAGGCCCATGTGTTTATGGACAAACCGAATTTCACTCCCTGGCGTCATCAACCTGTCAACGAAAAACAAACATGCAGAGGTCAATCCATGCATCGACTTCCCTGTTCAGCTTGCCCGCACTAGATTTTCTATTTTCTCCTCCCCTCTGCTTCCAAAGGCTGATATAACCTGACAGCATGCTGGTTACAGCCAGAGCTGGAGTATCTCAATTTTTACATCACCCGGTGCCTTAAGCTGCAGCTTTTGGCCCTTCTCAAAATGAGATACGTAGGCTGCAACAAGTAAAGATGCTTAGTGCCCGCACTGATGCCTGTAGTCAGTTCTAAAAAGTATTTGAAAACAGAATTGCAAAGACGGAGGGCACGTTACACTTATTCACAGTGCTGACATTGCCCTGCTAATTCATGCCTAAAAACAACAGGGTTCTGTCTAAAACCCAAGCGAACTAACACACAAAAGGTATTTCTCAAGAGAATGGATCGTGGTCTTAGTACTGATCTGTGCTGAGGAGGTTCTGTCAGCGCCCTGGTGCTTGATTATAGCACAGTTGGTGAGGTTTTTTGTTCCATACTTTAGAGGGTCCATGTAAGTTTTATTTTTATCTGCTCACTACAGCAAGAGAAGTGAAGATGGATGCTCAACTTCTGGCCCACAACATATAACAGAATTGCTTTCTATTTGTGCCTTACAGTGTGTAATAGAATTGCTCCCCTCCAGAAGGTAGAGTCACATTCCTTTTCTCAAAGATTTCACGTCTTTGCTTCTTTTCTACAGTCTGTCACCTCCCTTATTTAAGAACTCACCCTGAGCTGATTAAGCTATCTCCCTGGAGGAGCTCTGCTGCAGCCGATTGTACTGTCTCCACATAGTGTTCACGCTGACACACATTAGATTAGTGGAAACAGCCTCTAGAAATTCAATCATATAGAAACGATGTAGAGAAGCAGACCAGTACTTGCTCTTTCTTAAGATGGTGTTCTGCAGTGTGGTTGCTTGCTGGTGTTTAGAAGACAAGGGATGTAACTTGTGAAGTGGATCAGCTTCTACTTCAAGCACTAATTGGCTTTCTGAAGTTAAATCATGTAATACTAAGATCTACACACAAGTCTGTTTCCTAATAATGCAGTTTTCCATAATGAAAATACCAAGGTGAACAGCTTTAAAAGGGGAAATAAAAATAAAAACTTGAAAAATGCAACGACTTCTAGGAACTTACAGTTCCCAAATCTGCTTAGTTATTGTTAATTGTAAGTTTGCTTGGTTGCTTTTTTTTCTTAACCAGAGCACCATCAGCATTCATGCCATGCTACAAAGCACCAGGGCTGAAGAGCTTAGGCTTTATCCCAGACCCAACACAATGCACAAAGGCAACAGCTGACATGCCAGATTGCATGAAAGCCTTTTTGTAGAGATAGTGGAGGAAGGTTGTGTGACAAAAGGAAGAGAGCAGAGTATTGCAGGGGAGGAAAGGCTTTTAGCTAACACTAGCAAGTGCTTCCCAAGCCCAGCAAATCCCAGGGAGCTCAGGTCTCTCCTCTTCGCAAGGAAGACTCTGCAAGTAGCCCAAAACTCCTTTACTGGCTCGGCTTACTTTGCAATTTGCTGACACCCAGCATCCCACTGGGAAAGCAATAATGAAAACATTATTAAGGGTTTAATTCTAGCTGTGCTGAGCGACATGAAGCATTAAAAAAGAAGCAGTCATCAGCAGCTCGGCATCTGATGCTAGACTATCTGTAGGCAGTGTTGTAACACAACCACATCGCAGGTCAGAAGACAACGCTGAATTTGTTGAGTCTGAGACTGTCCCAGGCACCCGAGCTCAGGCCGTAAGGACAGGCATTTCCGTGCATGTCCTGTGGGCACACAGGGAATCATCTGGGAAGCTGGGTCAACGTGCTCTGAAGTTTGCACGGGAAGTCAAATCCTACATTAGAAGCACAGCCGATCCATCAGCATCAAGAAGAAAAAAGCTGAAAACATTTAGTATGTGGGAAAGGCTCTGTTATCTTGCAGAGTCTTCACCTCCCTCTGAGAAAATGGAACCAAACATGATGAAAGGAAAATAAACGATTGACAGCTAAATCCATAGAGACTGTGAGGCTGCAACTTCCAGGATCTCATTGGGATTCACCTCTCCCTGCAATGCTCCTTCGAACAAGCTCCACAGAAAATAGGTAAGTGGTTGTAGTGGCTGACCCCCAGCCGGCAGCTGAGCACTACACGGCCGCTGAACTCACACCCCCACCCTCCATGGGATGGGCAGGAGAACTGGAAGAGAAAGGTAAAACTTGTGGGTTGGGATAAGGACAGTTTACTGGGACAGCAAAGGAAGAGGAAAATAACGACACCAACAGTACTTAGAATATACAAAGCAGGTGATGCACAATGCAATTTGCTCACCACTCAGAACCCAATGTCCAGCCCATCCCCAAGCAGCAACCCTCTTCCCTGCCCTGCTCCTCCTTTATATACTGAGCATGACATCATGGCATCCAATATCCCTTTGGCTAGTTTGGGTCAGCTATACTGGCTGTGTCCCCTCCCAGCTTCTTGTGAAAATTAACTCTGTCCCAGCCAAACACCAGGACAGTGGTGGTCAGTAGAAGGTGTAAAGGTAGTCTTGGACTGTCTTCAGGCTTAAGAAAGGTATCTATGGTTTTTCAGACTTTTCAACTGTGAATCCTCTCCCGAAGTCACGCCATTTCTGACGGAAACCACCCATCGCGCTCTCTGTTAGGTACACCGCTCGCTCTCAGTCCCCATGCCCAAGGAAGCAATGGAGACCTGAGCTCAGATCTGAAGAGGTGTATGCCGCTGCCAAGCTAGCCTGAGATCAGCCTCTGAACATCACCAGCTGCAGCCTCGCATAAATATTTCCCTTTTTATTTTATGAAAGGAATTGAGTCTACCTTCTGAGACATGACAGATCTGATCTCCCATTAGATGAATTTATGTAAGGAAAGTACATCAAGCATTACTAAACACAAAGAGGCAGACATCAAAAAGCTGAAAAGCCAGAAGTACCATTCTATTCCTGAGCTGTTTATACCTTATTCACCTAGTACTGGCCCTGCCTGAGACAGAATAGCAGATGAATACAAAATGAACCCTGATTTGACTCAGTATGCCTGTTCTTGTCTTCCAGGTGAAGAGAATTTAAATCTGGGTCTCCTGTATCCCAGGGGAAGGTTATACCACTAGGCTCCTGGACATAGGCCTTCCCTGCCCTAAAAAAAGAAGATAATCTATTGCATGACAATACTGAAAAAATATTTATTAAATGGAATTAATGTAACAAAGTAACTGAAGACCTTAGAAGCAGAGAAACATCTTTCAGAAGTGTGAAGGGTAGCAAAATCCTCACAATTTATATTGGAAATAAGAGGTTAAATTGCAGCTGAAACCTTCTAAGAACATTATATTTCCATGTTACAAGCACTACAACACCCGTAGGAAGAAAGCACAGCCACCATGGGCCACATCCAATTTGGGGTTAGTCATCTAAAGCAAACAAGAGCTACAGCAAATGTTCCTGCTGTACATTTTAAAATGTTCTCAGACGTGCTAAATGTTACAAATCCTCCACCTTTGATCAGAGGATTCCTTCACTCCGTGACATCTCATTGCGCCCACAAACTACTGACTGTCACGCCGCACCACATCACCAGCAATGCACGGGAGAAGAAAATCTTGTTTGCCATTAACAAGGCAAGCTAACAAATCCAGGTAACTTGCTTCCTCAAAGGCGGCACTTGCTGTGACCTAACAGCTGTGCTTTCCTTTGCTAAAGTATTTCCCAGCTACTTGAACCTGGAGCATATATAATGAAAGCTGAAAATGCAAACAAAAATGTATTTTCTCAGTTCTTCATACCTGCTTTTTATAGTACTCCTGTTACTGAACTGTTCCAACAGGTATAATCAGTTCCTTGGGCAGAATTCAGATTATATTGAGGTTTCTGCTGGTCCTTTCCTGGACTTTGGGGTTTGAATTATATTCAGCATTCTGACAAGGCAAAGGCACTAATGAAGTTCACTAGGGAGGGACAAATACCATCCTCTATTTTATGCATTTTAAGAGCTCCTACCACTATGCTTCTGAAACCCATGATGGAAAAAAAGGATGCCTAAAACATTAAATGCGTTGTCAGCAACCTGGCTTTTGTTCCCATCCCTGTTTGACTCCCAGGGTCACGTAAGGACGCAGCTCCTGACTTCCAATCTTCTCCTTTTAGCTGGCGTGAGACAGGCACACCATGGACGGAGGCACCCGGCATCACGCAGTGCTGCAGCACCTGCTTCTTAGCTACGGTTATACTGAGAGGGCAGCCAGAATTGCAGGAAATTACTTCTGTCTCCCCCACAAATACTTTGGCCTCCAGCTCTCAAACCACCAATCAACATAACTAATAAGCAAAGCTTATGCCTTGGGTCATAGGAAGTTCCCTCACCAAATCAGCTAACTTCTATAAATTTGGGTAACGCTACCTATGAGGTGACTGAACCAACACAAAGTGGAAAATTCTCCAAAAAACAGAGTCAAAGGCCTTGGGATACAATTAAAAGACATCCATAATTTTAACATGCTGTAAAGCAAGAGTTATTGAAATATAATAAGAAAATTTCAAATACAACTAGCATTTTTGCAAAACATAGGTAGACAAAAGGCCTTGGGATACAATTAAAAGACATCCATAATTTTAACATGCTGTAAAGCAAGAGTTATTGAAATAGAAATAATAAGAAAATTTCAAATACAACTAGACATTTTTGCAAAATACAGGTAGACATCCAGACACATGAAAAGCAATGGTCATGGTCAGCCACACGTGCATTTTGGCCGACTGTCATTACTCAGTGAAGACAGCAAGGACACAGTATTGATATCTAAGGCTTTCAACCAACCATCCAAACTACACACACAACTATTACAAGCACAGGAAAAGAGAGATGTTAAAGAAAAAAGAAAATTGCCAGGAAAATGGTAACAGAAAGAAGACTATCAAGGGCCAAACACTTGTTTTAACCAGCAAACAACAGAACAAAGTTGATGTACAATCCAGTCATATGCTTTCCCCAACATGTATGTTTTTCTAATACAATCATCACTATGATATCAGCTTAATTAACTCTTGTTAAATTAAGTAACAGCTGTGCTATGCTGACATGTTGCCAAAACAGCTTTTTAAAATGCACTCTGCTGGGCAGTGCAAGTTCAAGACTTTGTTAGAGGTCAGGTATGACATTATCTGTGGGTGGTGTTTATCATGCAAATGGAACTTGTTTTGCCAGGTGGGCATGAAAATTTGATGACCTTGATTGCAAGTGACAAAAGCTCAGGTATAACTAGTTTAGGATTTTGCAACTTCGCTTGGCAAGTGTCACCAGGACCATCCACCGCAGCAGCAGCTCTCAAATGCATGCTGGACCTTAGGCAAGCAAGAAAGCCAGAGCCCTTTGTCCACATCTTCCCTGTTCTCCTACTGCACCTTCTCAACACTCAAAATACAGTCCCTGTCTCATCACTTCACCTGCACGTTGCACCTCATAGTCACACTCCACCTTCCTTACACTTCTTCAGCATCCCACAGGGCACAGGAGATCCCAGTATTGGTGGTGGGTTCTTGCAGCAAGTGACTGTGGCTCAGGCTGCAGAGTTACACAGGTAATACCTGTAATCTGATCTCCCTTCTCCTCTTGCTGATGCATGCAAAACCCACAAAAAAAAAAAAAAAAAAAAAAGAGTCCAGTCATATCTGGAGTCTGCACACCACTTTTCTACAGTGTGAATAGCATAAGAGGCAGGCATCAAGCCAGAGATCCTAGCTCAGATTTCACTACACAGCCCACAGAACACATACCTCATCCATTGTTCACACGTCTGAGTAATCTTGTCAGGTTTTCGGTATAAAACAAACAGATTTGGCCCCTTCTTTAACGAGTAACCATCAAGATTATTATTGGCATTTTTTTTGACAGGAAAGGTAAAATAAAAGACAGGAAACATGACTTTTCTGATCCAGACCACAACCTCTAGCTGTTTCTGCAGAATGGCTACCCAGTCAGCTGACTGTTCCCAGAGAGGGTAACCCTTGGAACTTGTCTTAATCGTGAAACAGGAACTATCCCAATAAACTTTAATGAAGCCAATCCACACCAACAGCAGCCTGAGCATAAACAGGGCTGTAATGCAGTACACACAGGAAAAGATGCCACACACACAGTTACCTCTGAAAAGCCTTTAAAAATAGGAAAATGCTTTTTGAATCAACCACGTTTGCCTGAAGCATCTCTCATTGCAACAGGTTTTATAAAGCCACTTGAAGGGCTAGCAGTGTAGTTTGGGGTTTTGCCCAGCCTGCCCTGAGCAATGCTGTGTCACTGACTGTCTTTGAAAACAGCCAGCTCTTTGCCCAAGGGGCTCGGCAAGCCCCAGGCCATTGCAAGCACATTCATCTAACTACTCTGGCTGAGGATAAAAACATCCCATTTTAGCATCTTAAAAGGAGCTTAATCTACAGTTGTGAAGTTCAGGGGGAAAGTTCAAAGATTTCATTAGTTTAGAAGTGAGGTGACCACGGTCTCCAGGGTTGTGTGGTAACACCAAATGCAAAGTGGCTGACAGCTAAATTCCACACTTACCTCCTCCTTGACTGTGCCAAACTCTGGATCCAGGGCTTTGAAGTGGTACCGGTGAGTTCCTTCACGATCAATAGCTACCTTAAAATCCTTCAGAGTCACTTCCCCTAACCTGCAAGGGAAGAGTTTGGCACTATCCCATGGTACACCGTTACTAGATTTAGCTCAAGTGTTACTACATGGCACGCAGAGCCACAGCCCAAGTCTAGCTAGGCATGTGGCACCCTGGCCACAGGATTGTGAAGAGCGTGCCCTTCCAGAAACACACCTGGCAACCTCAAGGTTTTCTTCAGAGGAAGAATTACCTTCTGATTTATTAAGAGCCACCTCAAAACAGCCTGTTTCTCTTTTGCATTGACAACCATAGTTGTTTTGACAGGAGCATCCTGCACTACATGCCACAATAGCACAGTCTGGCTGCTTTCTCTTGCTCTTGGAAGTTAATAAAACACCCAGAGATTAATCTCTTGGGCCCTAAACCAACTGCATCAGCTAGAGGACTGTGCTTTAGGCAATTTTCCCCAGACAATGATATGAAATCCAGTGCCCAAGTTAATGCACAGCAAACCTGCGCTAGTTGTGACCATACTCAGAAGAGATTAAACAAATGCTTTAAAAGAAACAAGCACCTCCCACATCAGTGTCAGCAAGGCAAAGGCAGACCTCACCTCTTTGGTATGTTGACCATGAAAGGTGTGAGGGAACGGTCAGTGAAGTACAACACTTTGGTGCAGGCACTGGTGCTCATCACAGGTGTGCTGTGAGAATGAGACATTTCTGCAAAGAAAAGAGCACAATCATTAGGGAACACTGTCTCCTGCCACAACAGGAGATAAAAGGGGTGATATCAGCAAATTTGCCATCACAGCAGAGAAGCTGGTGATGGGAAGAGATTCTTAGGAGGGTAGCTAATCACCCCTATTGGAAAGGGCCAGGTATTCCCCCGCTTGCTGGAAAAGTTTGCATTTTAAGGTAGGGTCATGATCCAACTGTGTTATTAGAGTGAAAGATTTGCCTAGCACTGTCCTACAGGATTACTGTCACATCCACAGAGGTGCTCGCTGCCACCATCTACTCCACAGACATTCTATTTACTACCTCAGCACTGGCAGGGAAACCTTTCTGGAAGAGAAAAATGACCGAACAGTACCCTGTCCAGTATAGCTACATTATCACTTGCCTTCACTTGCAGATGGGTAAGGCAGGATGAAGTGACTGATCATCAAGGCAAAAGGTTATCTGTCTTCTCCCCATGTTCCCATTCTAGTTGGCCAGGATGGGTGTTTGTGCATGGATTTGAATTTGCTCATTTGTGTTTCTCTCTTTCTCTGGCTATTGCCTTGCTTCCTGCTTCCCTGCAATGTGCTATGCCAAAAGCTGAAGCAGAGGAAGGTTCACACTGAGAGACTCTGCAGTTTTAAAAATTCCTAGCATGCAGAAAACACTATGGACACCCATTCAAAGGTTTTCTAATTTAACAAGTCTTTGGAGACACCTCTTAGAGCTCTTTACACCCAAGGCATTCTACGTCTGTGGCTGCACAACTCGGTTTTTCTCCTCCACATTTTGTACCTCCAGGCTACCCTGCTACTGGATACAATGCAGGTGAAAGGTGGGGGCCTCTGCCTTTCCCTAGGACCTACAGTCCTCTACAAACTCATACACTTTCTAGGTGTCATTTACAACCAACACTGGAAAAAATAGCCTTCATGATGAAAATCAAACGTGGAGCTGCTCCAGCTGGAGCCAGGAAACATGGTGTCAGAAAGGGCTGTGCTGTTATGCATACATGAAAGGAGCTAGACACCGAGATGGGAACAGAGGAAGAGGCAACTGTACAGTTATCCGTTTCCACTAGATGGTGCAAACCAGCAGGAAAGCTGAAATAACATCACATTTCCCACTCATCCCAAGGGCAATTGTTTGTCATAGTTATTTATACTGCAGTACTACCAAAGTGGCCCAGGCAGACTCCCACTGTGATGGTGCTTTACAAACAGATTCCCACGGGGATGCTACACCCTGGACTCTGGACAGGAAACCTGAGCAATGAATTTAGCAGTGGGAGGGCAGGAGCTGAAAGGCACTTACTGGATTTAGGAGGCCAGGAGTCTCTACACTCATTTGTTGCTCTGCTTGCTGGTGATTTCCCCCGGATCTAGGGTACAAAGCCAAAAGAGTGAGAACAAAGTATCAATTCCCAGTTGGAGCTCTCATTGCTCTGGATTGTGCAAGGGGCAAAAGTTAAGAGCTAAGTGCCCTAAGAAGCCTTTACCCTTCTCTCTTGCCTCTTCTGTGTTTCCACACGGTACAGCCGTTCCATTAGGCTGGAGATGCCCTGCTCCAGGCTGTCAATAGTGTGGTGCTGTGGATCGTGGCCACTGAAACTATTCCTGAGGCTGCGAAGGGCATCACGAACCAGCTGCAAGTCATTTGTCTGCCCAAGAGACCACAAGTCAGTCAAACTCCAGGCTGCTTTCTTCCCTTCTAAAGCCATAGGTCTTAGGGGAAATGTCTCTTAAGAATATAATTGATTCCAGGATATCTGGAGCCCTCATCTGCAGATCCCTTACGTACACTTACCACTTGGTGGGCTGTAGGAACAGCTCCTTTCCCTGCTGTCTGGAGGAAGCCATTGCTCTGAGCACTATGACCACTGTAAGCCATCACCTGTTCAGGGGAAGATGGGTATGCCACTAGAAATGTAAGGGTTAGGACCTCCCCAAAGATCCCAATTTGTGAACTTCAAAGTGATGAGAGGGCATGAAAACTTTCCACATCAGCAATATAACTACCATCTTCTAACAGGTAAATACACTCAGTAAGGAGCGTGCAGGCAGTCCTATAGCAGAAACATGATTCCTGACATACAGGTAGAGAAAAAGAGGCAGAGACAGCTGCTACACCACAGGGCTCTGCAAGCTCTAGTGAACACAATCAATGTTCAAGTGGCACTGTTCAGGGACAGTTTTCCACTGAGACAGTTCCAAGTGCTCAATACCAGAGTAAACAGGACAAGGAGGAGATAAGAAACTAAACCCTGCTCTAACCATTAGTCAATGTCAGAGCTGAAGCTAGAAGCCAAGATTCTCTGGCTTCCACTCACCCCTGTGCTCCCCTCACTGTTTCATCCCTTAGGATTTTGACACAAGAGGCTAGGCCAGAGTGCTCACTGCTGAGAGCTTTGGTAAGTCAAATGCTTTGGGGAGTCTGGCTGCCTTGGTTAGGGTACTGACAATGAGATTGCAGAGCCAGGCCTCTCTGGGATGAAGTGGATGATTTCTGGAGATAGGTAACTAGAGGGTGCTGGACAGAAACATCACTCCAACAGTCTGATGTTTAGACCAAGGCTTCCCATACCTCTTCAGCTTCTCTCTTCATGCAGTGAGCTAGCAGGGCTTCTTTATGCTCCAGCTCCCACTCCAAATCCACCTGTGAGGGCAGTAGAGGAGTAAGCACAAACTGAGTCACCAAGTGCCAGTTCTCAGGGCATCAGTGCAGCCCACTTGCCCCATACCTGTTGGTAGCTGGCCTCAGAAAGCTGCCTAAGCATTTCATCCAGTTTGGTCTGATGGTGCTGTAAATGCCGATCCTTCTGGCACAGTTCTTTCTGCCACACAGTAATCAAGAGAATCAACAGGACAGTAAGGCTCACAATCATCTTCCCATGACAGGGAAGTTTATGTCGTCTGCCAGGATCAGGCTGACTTACACAATGTGTGTACTTCTAGCTAGATGTTACAACTGAGTGTCAAAGTTGTTTGTTTTTTAAAAGATTGCTCAGGTTGTTGTTGCCTGGAGTCCCCTTGCCCAGCAAAGATCCACTACTGAGGCCAGGCAACTGTCCCAGAGAAAACAGATTCCTGAGAGACCAGTGGATAATCAGGTGACCCAACCTAATCCAATAGGCTTCTGCACAAGTGTTAGATACTCAGCAAGCCATCACAGAAAAACCACGACAATAAAAGATCTGCTGTAAAAAGCTATGGGCAAAACACAACATCTGATCCCTCCATCTCATTACAAACATCCATGGCTATTGCAACTTATTCACTATCCACAGTGCCATTCCCAGAGGTGACTGAGTGCCAGGGAGACAGCAGTCACATTCATAAAACTAAAGAACCACTAGATGCTGCCCCAGCAAAGCCTCCAGTGAAGAGAGGTTCCATTACTTGGTATTCTGCCAGTAGCCGGTTTCTCTCTTCAATCTTCCTCTGAAGGTCAACCTGCACAAATAACACATAGGTGTGAGGCAGGTATTCTTAGAGAGTTAATATCAACCTCTTTGCCCCTTGTGCTAAAGGGTGATCTGAGACCAAATACCCGCAGAGTTCAAGGGAGTGTGACACATCTTAGCGTCTAAGACATCTTAGACACATCCTAGTATCTAAGGATATCAACCTTTTGGAGAGGACAGTTCCTTCCTTGCCCTTCTCTCTCCAGAGAGACACCGTACATGGCAGCCTCACCTGCCAAAGAGCAACTTGCTAACCCAGGGAGCACTGCAAGGAAGGAAAAATGCAACTGTACTGAAAACATCATGGAAAGCCCTTCCCTGTTGCAGCTGAAGGTCTTGGAGGACAGGAAGTAGGAGGGAAGAACAGGAAACTCCAGTGAGTCTCACAGCTGGCTAGTAAACTTTGCAGTTTTTAATATGCACAGACTTTTCACTGGTCGTTCACTATCCCATGACCTCAAGAACTATGCTGCAACCACCAACTCCACTGCTGAAGCCCTCAGGGCCACCAACCTCCTAACATAATCTAACCTTCAGCAGCAGAGTGACTCACGTTCTGGTTGTGCAATTCCTCCTTGTCCATGTTTGCTCTCAGAAGTTCCTGCTTTAGCTGAAGAACTGAAGCATCCTGTTGAATCAGCCTTTGCTGTAAAGCATCCTAGGAGAGATGTTATCTGTAGAAAGGTGCAAGACAGAGGCAGAAGCCCTTCCCTGGGAAGTGACTGACCTAGACTAGTGGCCATAACACAGTGGGGCCACTCACAAGGCTGAAGTGTTGCCAAGGGCCCAAACAACCAGGAGGTAGACAGACATCTGCCCAATGGGCTCTCAGCTCTTTTGCCTTTCTCTTACCGAAAAGTGATTTCCCTACCACCATTCTAGCCATATGGGACAGAGGGATTTCTGTGCTTCTACCTGAAATTCCTGCTCCAGAAGTGGCCTGACAGTTTGCTCTTAGGGAAGAAAACAGCAATGCCTTTGGAGGGTCTTTTCAGTGGCCTACAGCTAGTGTCTCCAGCCACGCATCTGCGTCATCCAGAAGGCAGAGAGGCGCCAACATCAGCCAAGGACACAAAGAAACTTAAGCTCTCAGTGTGACCTAGTCATGCAATGAAGTCCCCTCTGAAGAGGCCAAAGTCAGAACGAATTTTGCACCTTTCACTCAGCATTATCCAGAAGCCAAGAGGTCTGCCTTGGACAGCTACTGCTGTTTGCTTCCTTCCCAGAAGCCTGTCAGGCAGCTCTAAAAATACCTCTGCTCAAGAGTAGATTATTAGTGTTCAGAACTCCAGAGGGAGAAACGGAGCAAACAGGAGCCAATTTGTGCAAATGTTGCAGCTGAAGAGGACAAGGATACCCCCATGCTCTTTTTCCCCCACTGACAAGAGTGAGTTCACTGGGCCAATCCTATTGTGCGTACCCCAAGACAGAGGCGAGGTGGGGGGGAAGCCATGTGAACCAAGCAGGCATCCTATGCCTCATATTTGGTTTAGGGGAAACAGACAAAAGAGGGGACATTTGACCACAATCTTACAGACAGAAATAGAACCCAGGAGATCTAACTCCTTGTGCCTGCCTTAACTGCAGTCTCTCCCTGAAATGAGAAACAGGCCATCTCCCAGTCCCCTAATACAACTCCCTCCACAATCTGAGATTCCTCAGAGGTGTATGGTTGCTGCTGGCCCTACTCATGGGCTGCAGCAGACTCTAAAGCTTTACTATTTATATTTGATGAAGTGTCCCTTTCCTCACCTTTATTCCCTGTAGGTTTCGAGCTTCTTGTTTGTATTTCAATAGCTCCTTCTGTAAATGCAACACAATTTGATTAAATGGCATCTTGTCACCCCTTCAGGATCAACCAAAGTAAGTGTTCTCTGTCCTCAGACACCTCCTTCAGAAGAAAGCACACCCCACCTTTTCCCAAAGATCAAAGAGCATTTTAATGAGTTACAAACATGACAAAACAGTTGAGCAGCTCCCTAACCCCCTGCTATTAAAGACATGAGAGAAAAAGATTGCTTAGTTCCCCAAATCTGTCCTTCAGGGAAATGTCAAGTACTTCTCTCCTAGCATCAGAACTGGTCCCAGAGCTAGCATCAGCAGAAAGCTGAACTAAGGCAGGCTTGACAGGACAGGTTCTTAGCTGCATTTATTTCCTACTTGAAAGATCATTTTATTCAGACATGGCTAGAAACTTAACAGCTGTCCTGAATAAAGTTTTGAGAAGCTAGTAAAACCTGGATCTCTCCAGCTTTAAGAACATGCAGGAAAAATCTATTTCAGGGCTAATTTAAACTCCAGTAATACACAGATATTTGTTTTACCAGCATTGGCTTGAGGCAAAGTGGGGAGGCAGCATATATTTTTCTGGTGCTATTCCAAAAACTTTTATATTAACTGCTAATATGGACACAATAAACACTTCCCAGTCAAGTGTTGTGAGTGCTCTCCAGGTCCATGAATTATGGTCTCAGGGAAGCAGATATCTGTGCTCCTGGAGGGATGGAGATCCCACACAGCAGACTATGGGAACAGAGTTGGAACCCTAACACATTATAACCCCCACGTCCTCTGTTGGGTTGTCCACCCCTCCTGTCCCTGCCCCACTCCTACACACACACACACACAAAAAAAAAAAATCAAGTAGGACAGAGTCAGCAAAGATCTCTTTCCCCTTCACCTGTCCCCCTCTAACCTTTAGGTCTTGATTTTCTTCCACACTCTGGTCCAGGCGACTTTGGATTATGATCTGAATATAAAATACCACGGTTATTATTGTGCAAGACACCTGCCTGTGGCAGAACAGTGCAAAGGGTAGGTTGATCAGAGAACTGTAGATATAGCAATGTGCTTACCAGCTGCTCTTCGGGGCAGGCTCCACGTTCACAAAGTTCAAAGGACCCTTCCTGCTCATCCTCAGGTAAAGACCCATTGAGCAACAAAGCCTGGTTAGATGAAGGAAAAGAAACCTCCTCTTCAGGGGTTTCACAGGAAAATAGGCTAGCTGCAGCTCTGGCTAACAGTCATTCATTTTAACAGTTTCTAAACAGTTTTATTTTCCATTTCTGCTGACTTATTCCCCTCAAAAATGAGCAGAATTTTTCAGGAATGAACAAGAAGATTTATCTCCTGAAAAAGCTCTCCCAGATATCTGTCAGCCAATACTCTTCCCCATAGAAAGACACCAAAGACAACAACTCAAATTTTCAGGGAGTGAAGTCTGTCTCACGCTTCAGCTTAAGGGTAGCCTTCACTAAAATAACAGATTTGAAGTCTAAAGTGGAGACTGAACCAGGTTTATGTTGTAAGGCTTCTCTTCTGGAATAAGACTGAAGTGTCCCCTGCTGAAAGAAGCCATTCTCCTAACCACATATCTACGAAAGACTACAGAAACACAATGTTCAGGGAAGCCTAATTCTGTTCTACACTGGACAAGACCGAGACACATTCAGAACTGTTATCCAAGTGAGGGAAGAGCCCTCACCCGCAGAGACAGTGAAAATCTTAAGCTATGTCCTGTGCTTGAGGAAGGCTGCTAGGAGCACAGCATCAACCCCCTCAGCAGCTCCAAGGTAGCCCAGATGTCTGCAGGAAGATGCCAGAATTCCCACAGTAGACTGAATCCAGCCTGAAGGAAGGAAAATAGTGCACTGTAAGAACTGTGACTAGCAGGACCAGGCCAGATCTCCAGCAGGGTATACCATACTGGTTTTCTCTAGCTGATGGCTTTTACATTGACTTTTTTAACTTCCAGGACTCAGGGGACCTGGTACATGCCAGGATGCTGCATACAACTGGACACATTGGAAAGAGTCATGCCCCTCTCAGTTAGCTTTCTAGTTTATTTCTGTTTGAACTCCATGGCTAGAAAAAAAAAAATCCTGTTTGCAGTAATACTCCAGCTCAGCCCCAAAAGTCTTCAAGGCTGACAGGTCAGGTTCTGCCTGCTGACACAATCTTCCACCAAAGAGTTGCAACTGCTCCCAAATAGCAAATAACAATCTGTATTCAGTTAATGCAAAAGCTCTTTGGAAAACTGTTTCCTGAGTGCATCCCAAAGTCTTCCGAGCAGAACACTCAAGCAGGAATCACACAGGAACATAAAAAGCTGCCATGGTTTTAGCGCCTTATGGGGTATATGTACATCAAGTCCCTGATATTTCAGCCAAACTCTCATGAACTTGAGGCTTTTAAGTATTGAGCAAGAGGGGGAAAATCAATTAATCAAATCCAATTTCTTGGCTAGCAACATCAGCTGCCTCTTCCTACTCCCAGGGGATGATGGGGCAGCAATACCAGCTGCTTACCCTCACTTCTGAAACATGGAGCCACGGTTGGAGGAATAGGACTTGCCAGTCCCTCCAGTGCCCCCTCACCCTGCTCCCAGTGGGCACATAATGCAACTGGATTTTACCAGTAGAATTATATTAACCTAATCTCGATGCATTGCTTTGAAATTTTTTTTTTTTTTTTTTTTTTTGAGTCTTTTGTTTCCTACCCATTGTCCACAGGGAAAGTGCACACCCCCCACCCCCACCCCTCTGCCTCCGCTGCCTATGGTTCTCACACAATCTCTGCTTTGTTTACTGGCACATAAATATTTACAATTCAAAGACAGTATGGTTCCCAGCACAAACAGAAAGGAATATTCCTGAGAGAGTTCAGGGTCTTTACCATATGGATCAGGGGCTCTATTCCCCATGTAGAGTCAAACACATTGGGCTGAGGGTCATTTGGTCAGGGAGGGACTAGAACAGGGCAGCAAGGAAAAGGTCTCGCAAATAAATAGTTGCATAGAGAGCATCCCAAATATTATAGTTCAGCCTAGCTCACTGAAAGACTGATGCAAACCTGTGTGACCCCAGATCAGCTCTGTGAATCTTGATTGATTTCCTGACATTCCTTGTCTCTCTGCATTACTTCCAATCACAAATCACAGAAAGACTGCTGTATTCTCTCAGGCTGCTAACAAAACTTGCAGGCTGTTAAATGCCCTGGTGAATAAGGGGAGTGCCAGTCGCAGCATATGGGAGAATACTGCTGCATCCTTACCATTCTGCACAGTAACATACGTGCTTTGCACAGTGACAGCACATACAGTTAACGTAGCATCACAGGATCTGGACTCCAACCAAAAGGCAACACAGACATAATCACCTTCTAAACACAAGCGTTGTTTTAGACACTCTACAGTGGTTCCATTCTTACCCGCAGTGTGCCCTTTGCCCTCTCACAGTCCACCTAAATTACTATCAGTGAATATTACTGATCTTCAGTCTCCATAGCAATATAATTTTTCTCTCCACTCCCTTCTCTCTCCCTTCTTACTGAATAAGGGCCTCAAATCATGTCAACACCAAGTTTTGGACAAGCCTGAGCTAAGAAAAAGAAAAGGTTGTGCCCAAATTGCAGACTGATGTTAGTTAAAATCTCTTCTCTGAAAACTTAGGAAATATACTAGGGCTAGGGAAGTTGCAAACATCTTTCCTCCTTCCCTAGGCTCTCTTGGTTAAGTATGCCACACAATGATGGAGGACAGGCACACCCTGCCTCAAGCAAGACCGTGGCTGGATCCAGCTGTCTTCTAAATTGCATCTGGGACATTGGAAGGGAGGGTTTTGGCATTCTCCATTCTGGAAAAAGTGATCAGCACCAAATCACAATTGCAGGAGTCAAGAGAGACTAAACATTGCAAGAAAGGAAGATGTCAGAGTGCTTAGTCAGTAGCATTCTGTTGCTGGATAAGGCCTCTGCTGGCTGCAGCCAATATACACTATCCACAATATCAGAAATAATTCCTCATTCCTGAGGAACTCTTCTGTGAAGAGATTCATCCCACAGGGTGAGACACAGGGAAGAGCCACTGTCCCTATTTAATCAAGGTGACCCAAGAGACCTCACTGTACTAGTATTCTTATTCAACTCTCTCAAGTTCCAGGCCAGCGTCTCAGCTACAAGATAACCTGTCTTCCAGCTACAGCTGGTGGGAAGAGAAATGCATGTGGAAGGGAACCAAGCTGAGAAGAAAATCTATTACCTGCAAACCTGAAATCATCTTCTTTGCTTCCTCCATTTCCTTTTCCAAATGGTCCTGTTGTTCCAAAAGCTGCTCCTCCCATGAATTCGCCAAATATGACCCAGGGTTCCCTGCTTGCCACTCAGGCTGGAAACGAGATTCTGTCTCTTCTGGAAGAGAGAGCAGCTGAATGTGGTCATGACAGACAGAGGAGTCCAGAAAAGACTTGTACCACACAATAATTGCCTGTTGTCTACACTAGCTATCACTAACAAACCAGCATGTCTTCTAGTCAGTATCAAGGAAGTTGCTACAGGTATGACACCTTGCCTAATCTCAAGTATTCATGCCTCGTTCCTTATGCAAAGGAAACTTTCCTGCATACACATATATTAAAGATAAGCATCCTTCCCCTTCATTAACTTTGCTGCATCTGATTCCTCAGTACTGGAGATTTCAAAGCACATCACAGAGGACAATCTACTGCACCGTGTGTGCTAAAAAAACACCTAAAGGGAGAAAAGCCACTGTGGGATTTGAAGAGCATGTCTTAGTGTTAGGGGATGCACCAAGGACCCACTGAAGGCAACATTAAACAGTATTTCTACTTGTCAAGTAACATGGCTTTCCCAAGGTGGACAACACACCTAATTCTGAAAAAAACTTTTCTCTTAATAGCCTTGCATGTCTTTTCTGATCCCCATAGCGTAAGTTGGATCACTGGTTAACTATCATCCACTGTCTGGCCCAGGAATATAGATTTTTTTTTTTTTTCTTCCTTAAGAAGGGATGAGGTTTGATGAAGAATAATCATAGCAGTGACCAGAAGTGAAACTGGACAATGCAAGCTACTGTGCATCTGTAGACATGCATCTGCAATATCCTACTGTACATGCAGCAAGCAGACATAGTACTGCTAAGAATTTAAGGAAGAGCCACAGCCTGCCAGCTACTTCAGCCACTGAGACAGTCTGTCAAATACTTTCGAAGGAGCACTGAAGCAGAACTACATTGGTTGAGGCAGCAAGGCATTTCTTAGGAGAGCTTCTCTGTTGTTTGCTCTTGGGATGGATGCTAACCAGAAAGAGTTATTAGGCCACATTCCTGAGAAGGAAAAGAAAGCAACAAAAAAATAAATCACCTCAGGAACTTCTTTGAAAACCTTTCCTTCAATCTGCATGAAAATTTTAAGTGTAAACTGAACTGTTCAACTCCTTGCCAAGAGCCACTCGACCTATGTACAGATGTGCTATAAACACAGACCCTTACACAAAGTCAAGTTATGCATCATGGGCTTGACAAGCTCACGTGGACTCTTTCTTTAAGGGAATTTTAAATGGTTTTTTTTCCAACATGGTCTAATGCGGCTGTGATGAAAGCATTCACCCTACAGTGCAAATTACATATGACCTTTAATTCTTCTCCAGAGCTTTTGATTTCCCAAGCATTATATTGCAAGCCTCACAAACGTTACCATATTATGGCATTATTGTAGTGTTAAAAGTTTTGGGATTTAGTTCTATGTGAACAGATACTTAGCATCACATTCTCTACATTCGTTTCAGTCACTGAGGAACTTTTCAGCAAAGTTTATGATATAAACAAATCCCAAAGAAAGTGTGAGCTGTAAAGCATTATCTGCAATGTACTTGGTTTAGTTTCTATTTCTTCAGTGGGGATGATCACAAGTCTTTCCTTCTCCTCTGATGGGGCTACGGTGCATTCACTCTTCGCACTATGGATAGGACTAGGCGATGTAAGACTGCAGAGGAAAGAAAAAACAGCTACTTTAGTGCGGATTGACATCCTCCTCTTCTAAGATAAAAGTAAATATGCAGAATTTTGAAAATATTTCAGAATTGTTGAAACTAAGAATTATCTGCATACTAAAGAAGCCATTAAGGAACCAAACTGGGCATGTAACTTTTCCATTACTCTACATCAGTGTCATAGCCAGCCAACCGATAAGTAGCACAATGTCTCTCCAGTTTCCTTAACAGAATGCGAGTTTCAGACTGGCAACACAGAATTCACATATACTCACACAGGGGTAAGACCACAATCTACTGAAGGTCTGCTCAGAAACAGTTTACCACGAGCCTTGTGTTCATACTGCAAGCTGAACAAAAAGCCACCCAGGCTTGCTTCATCTCTTGCTCCGGCTTTCAACAGCATCACTTCACTAACTTGAAATCCCAAAGGCAAAATATTTTTCAAGTCAGATACCACTCACTCAAGTTCTTAGGTTAAAACTTCTTGAAAGTACCCACATATTTTCATCGGAGCCGTATCAGCTGATTGTGAGGTTCATGCATATTTTTTTTTCAGAAATTCTTCCTAAATGCTTCACCCATACAACCTCAAAAGGTGGCTGAAGCTCACTGACCCATTCAATGTACCTCTAAAGTCACAGGAACTAATCCGTGCAAGCATGAACAGGAGTTAATTTTTCCATTCTCCTCAACACAGAAACAGAGGACAGAACAAAAAGAAACAGTGTGGAAATAATATAATAGGTTTAGAAAAATAAGACACTTTGACAGCTCGCCTTCCACATCTTCCCAGCACTGCTGCTACATATTCCACAGCTGTCACAGAATCAGAAAAGCCTTGCAATAGAGATGGAAATGACTTGCTAGCAGCTCCCTTCTAGTCCACTCCCACAGGCAGTAGTGGCCTACTTCTCATTTATATTACAGACCTTCAACCCATCTACTTTTAAAGGTCCAGACTAAATGGACTTTCACCCTCTTAAAAGGAAAGATGAATGCAACTTACTAAGTGAAAGAATAACCATCTTCTAATGGGGAACTCTATGAGCTACAGTACCTGGTTTTTCCTGCTCAAACAGGGTGTGCACGATTGTTAAAGAGGCCCAGGCCACCTGGCTTTGCTCAAGGATTTACCTTCAGGAAGGCTACCTCCATTACAGCAGTCACTGATTAGGCACATTTTGTATACAACAACTGTAACCAGCCCCCTGCTCCTGCTTGTCATTGAATGGGTGCACAGCATAAAATCAAAATAATTGTTTTGGAGCCCAGAAAGTTCTATTGGGTTTGCATTATATAATAAGGGTCAGAGGAAAGCAGGAAACTTTCAAACAGCACAGGTACAAACAGGAAGCCCAGCTGATCTAACATGTCCAGTAACTCTGACAGGAATTTTACTTCCTTCTAGGAACAGATCTTGATATTCCCCCCACATATTCTCAGCTGATTCTCTGAATGTGCTGTCATCCTGATAATGCCACTGAGAATTGCATTGCCGGTTCTCATCCATGCAAAAGATGAAAGAATGTTAGCCGTCCCAGAAAATCAGTATTAGCAACTGTTGGGTGAGAAGGTGCTGAAACTGAGGGATTGGCAAGAGGAGGGAACTGGAAAGAAGAATGAGCAGGCCAAAAAAAACCCCCACCACCCAGGGGATACAAAGCTTAGAAACAACATTCCCCTCTTCCAAAGTATGCTCTTCTCAGCACTGGATCCACAACCCAAAGCAAATATAAAGGATCCCATCTGGGGCAGGGGGGTGGGGTTAAATGGTAACTACAGGTCTCCAGATAGACAGTTTTATAGATAATTGCCTAGGCATTCCTATGTCCACAGTCCCCTTTACAGGCAGTTTCTCTGTTTTAAAAGGCCAGTGGGTTCACGTGGCATCAGTGACAACCTCTCAAACCATACCAAACAGTGAAAGTGTCACTGAGATGCACTCAGATGAAGCAGTAGCACAGGCCAGGTGGCCTCATATATTCTGCCATCAAGTTAATACTGGAAACATTTCTATGGTTTTTCTATCAGTCACCAAACCCGTTAGAGTATGAAATGTCCACTGATGCAATTTGTTCTTTAAAGTACATAACAATTTGTGATTAATGCATGCCAAAATAAGTGCTGGGAAATTAAAGCTATTTAAGACAGATTCACGATGCAAACTGTTCCACTTTATTCCTTCTACCAGTTGGTTTCTTAACCCATATCCTTTCTCTACCGAGTCCCAGAGTTGCCAGTGCCTGCACAGTCAAGGCTTTAGGGCAACAGCCCCAGTGATAAGTCTGAATTCTCATAATTTTAATAAACACCCCATCCCTGCTGTTTCAAATGACAATGGCAACAATCGCTCACCATTTGACCTGCTTCCCTCCCATGATCCCACTTTAACCTTTCGCCTCACAGAATCCGTTTCCCGGGAAGCCTCAGGATTCTGGCTACAGACATGCCTTGTCCCTTCACATGCTCAGAATTCAGTGCAGAAGATGCCGGCTCCTGTCAAACTACTGGAGAAATATTTGCAAGCCAGACCGCTTCACATTAGCTGAAAAATTCACAGCAGACACAGAAAAGAAAAAAAAACCAAACCAACAAATAAAAAAAACACCACAACTCAGGGTCTCGGAAGAAACCATCAGATGGCAGATCAGCAGCCCACACACACGTATTTGATTCCAGAGTCAGGGAATTCTGTCTGCAGTCTGGGTTTTTCTTTTGCTGGTTTTCCTCTCGGGTTATTTGTCTCTTGCTGCTGCATTTTGGTCAGCTGCACACCCAGTTGTTTTCATCACAAGGACTGCGATCCTGGATTGCCAGTGGTGTTTCTCATCCCATTCTGCCCTCTTTAGACTCCAAGCACCTGATGCAGATGCCAACAAACAGCCAAGAGAAGGTGCTCCTGCAAGCAGTCAGTTCCCTGCTCCTCCAGGCTTGGATGTGGTCTCGGAAGATGGCATGCAGCACTTCCCAGCCCTATGCACGGCTTCCTCTTCCTTGCTATCTCCAGCTCCCTCTCCCTCCTGCTGTCACACAGGCTGTGCAAGGCAGAGCCTTTTCTCTGAGATGCCTGGCTCTCAGTGGGGGAGGGAAGGCTGGTGGAAGGGGAGGGGAAAGGGAGATGGATGGGTGAGGGGCTCAGTGGCCTCGGAATCCATCTGATTTTGGAAAATTCTCCATGAATCATTTCAATTGCCTTTGCTTATTAGAGCTTTTGTCTCTGGGAATTCTGTTATTCAGGCTGCGAGCTCTCTTACTGAAGAGTTAATGCAGAAATAAGCTGATGCTAGGCAGGGGATGCTGCTCTGGGACAGACACAATTAGATGGAGGGGGATGGCTGCAGTTAGTAACCACATCTCTCACTAATTAAAAAAAAAAAAAAGTGTGGCTTGTTTCTTTAAACCAGTTCTCATAGCTAAGCTAGTACATTTCTCTCAGGAAGGAAAGAGAAACAAGCATCTTGTTTTCATCATGAAGCCTTGTGTCAGCAGAGGACATCCCCAGGAGCTGGAAGGCAGATAGTTCCCAATTTCTTTGAGTATTTGAGTAAATCACTGATCACTTACATAAAGATTCTCACCATACTATTTCCTATCAGCAATAATATCACTATTACCATATGGTAAGAGAACTCATGACATTATGGGGAAAAAAACAAAAAAATACAACACACAGTGATTCAGGATGTGCAGAGAAATTTTCACTCACCACCAAAATATATACAGCCACATATGAGCAAACAGCAGTTGTCTGACCATCCATTATAGCGTCAAGAATACTCATAAAATACCACAGCTACCTTAAACTGAAGAATGAACGGAGGGAGTAGCATGTTTCACTCACTGTCCTACTGAGATCACAGTTCAAGAGTCAACACCAAAGTCCTGTGACATTAGCCATGAAATCCTGTTGCCAAGACCAGAATTTTTACATGTTCCCTGGCATGACAACTTCAAAAGTACACTCTCTACTGACATCACGTGGAGGCAGTGGTCCAATACTGGCTCACGTGGAGTTCCCACAATCTTCCAGATGTGTATGTCTGCATTTATAAACACAACCTCACAATGATACACAGCAAATTTCGGGGATAAGTACTATTGTATTTTTTTCTCCTCTGTTGGGCCAAGCAATCTGTCCTAGGAAAATGAACCTACTCACTCCTGCAAAAATTGGGGTGGGGTGTGTGTGTGCTGGTTGAGGCACTCTCAAGGACCAGCCCAGGCAGGACAAGAAGACAACAAAGCAGAGTTGGGGCTGACACTGGGGACAGGAAAATGAATCAAAGAGAGCTGCAGCTATGCCCATGCAGCTCTGCCCTCTTAGTCCATTCTAGAAGAGATCAAATGGAGCAAAGCATCATATCCAGAGGGAGATCTAATATGTTCAGTTACACAGTCCTTTGTCTTCAAGCTAGTTTCTTGTTCTCTGAGGAAAAAGGGAAAGGCTGTCCTTTACTATGAAGCTGGATCAGCTCCCCCACCATAGTACAGTTTTTCTTCAAAAGCCCCTTCAGCTACGCTGTCTCTCCTATGTCCATGAAAACAAATAACACAGCCATGTGTCTTCCCTCTCCCCTCCACTGCTCAAGCAAATTGGGGCAAGAAGTTTGACTTCTGCCTGAAAGCAAAGGGTAGTAAGAAGAGCTTGTAAGGCACCAGTGTAACATGCAGTAACTGGCACATGCTGCTCAGGTTCACAGCCACAAGTTGTGGCACCTCCTATTGGAAATGTATTATATGCTGCCATTCTAACCAATCCTGTCTTCTACAGGTTCCGTTTCCTTAGAAAGCCTCCACTAACACCAGCTTGACCTTTCTTAACTTGTGCAGTCAAGAACCTCAGTCAAGGCTACAGGCTGTTTATAGCACGAGCACATACTTCTCAGGATCCAAGTCCTACTTCAAAGGGGAGTCACCTCCAATGGAAACCATATCGAAGTCTGATTTTCAGGCTTCGCAGCAGTACTCAGAAGATTTTTCAGTAAAATAATTAAATTCTGCACTTTAGATTTACAGTTATCTAATTTACCCTTCCATCCCCTAGACTTTCACTTTCAATCTAGAGACAGTTAAAGGTGATGGATGAGGGCATGATGGCAGTGAAGACAAAGCTGCAGTTCCCTCCTGGCACCATATATCTGGATTAAAGGCTGAAGCATTCCTGTAACTGCTGTTCAAATCCACATGCCCCCCCCCCCCCCCCCCCCCCCCCTTCATCTCCATCTCTCTGCAGGGCATGAGGTTTGTTGGTTTAAGTTCCTTTCCTCCACATCTTTTCCACCAGCTCTGAAATATTCATCCCTTGCACCCTAGCTACTCTGCCCCTTCCTTTCTGTGAAGTAGGACACAAACTCCATTTCAGCATCCCTCATGTCAGCACTCCCTCAAAAGGCTCCACCTGTACATCCAGGTTCTCAGTAAAATCTTTACCTGTGTCTTTCCTAATCCTATTCCCCCCCAATGTCACTGAGGGATGCTGCAAAGCTTTAGACAATTGTAACTCAGAAGTTACCAGCTCTTATCTGTGTGATCACATCATGAATGAGATCAATTTTATCTGTGGGAGTAATGGCAGTAAACCACTGCTTCATGTTGGTTCCTGAGGCTTCATTCTCCAAATCAGGCAGGAAAGTGTATGCTGGGATTCCTCTTTTCTATCAGAGCTAACCAGATCACAGTGATAAGAAAGGGCACTTTAGGGAATGTCAAAGGACCACGAAGGGACACATCTTGGCAATAAAGTTCCTTACCTGGAAGAGTGGGACTCCAATGGCATGTTCTGCTGCCCTTCATACTGCTGCACCAGTGCTCGGACACTCCAGTAAGGGTTTTCAATCTCCTCATCCATGCTACTATTTCTGGAGATAATAATCATAGAATGAAGGAAGCCTCAAGTGATAGGAGCAGAAATTCTTCTTGTCACCAAAAAGGAGGGTAGGAAAGCTAATGAAAGGAAGGTTAAGAAGGACAGGACTAGACTAATTCTGCAACTAGAAAACTACAAAAGCTCTGGGAAGACAAGGAAAAGAACAGAATTTGCAAACAGCACAAGGACTGGCTTTTCTGAAGAACTCCTGGCCCACAGCCTTTGCAAGAGAAGCCTTTAATATTTAATTTTTCAACAAATATACCATGTCAACCTCATTTCCAAACTGCTTCACGAATACTCCCTTGAGCCAATATAATATGGGCAAATGACCTTCATCTGTGTAAATTAAACCCTCAATAGACCACCATCTGGCTTGCATTTAAATGTCATTACTGTTATTATTATAATCCACATAGCACCTTCTGCAAGTGTTAAATGTGCTTTTCAGAATTACATATTCCTTCTGTACATGGATCATCTCCCTTCTTTATCACCAGAACTCCTCTGCTTACATGGCAGGCTGCATCAGCTGATTAACAGCACACAACACTTTGCATCTGCCTATATAGCAGTAAGCATATAATGGGGTGATCAACAATGCAGAAGACAGAATGGACTTGTACAACAGGCTCGATGCCTCAATTCTGGAAGCAACTGCTCCCAGATCTGTAACCAATACCTGTAGTTAAGACCTTACTTTTGTTTCACTTGAAATGAGAATGTCTCCAAGTAGACAGCAGCAAGAAAGGGTACTATGCTCAGCATGAAATGGGGAAAATGAGGCAGCAGAATTCCCCCTGACTTGGCCATAAAGAACTTCCCCCCACCCCCCACCCCCCACAGTGCGATAACAGAGATCCAGCAGTTATTTTGCTGCAAAACCTGAAAAGAATCTGGGATACCTGCAGTCTTCATCATGAAGCAGCCAGACTAGGTCAGTACTCCCCTTTGTTAGGCCACTGTCTATTTAGGTTTCAGCGAGACAGCAGCAGTTTGTCTCTGTTTGCACAATAGGAGAGCTACCTTATACCAGGTATCATTAGGACAAAGAATCTATTTTAAAATATACTGTGTCCATCTGCTAATGTGACGTGACCTCACATAACCAGGGAAAACTCATTACCTCTGTCTGTGCCGGAAAACATCCCGGCCGGATTGCAAGACATCTTGACGAACATCTGCCAGAGCAGCCACCGCCCCTTGGGCCACTGCAGCAGCTGAGCGAGGCCTGTGACTAGCAGATGATGCTGACAAGCTCTTCCCCACCATGCCAGCAGGGCTATGATTCATTGCTCTCCCAGAGCCTGGTTTGAAATGAGCAGCTAAGGCCAGGATCAGCCTCATGGTAGATTTCAAGTTCCCATCAACAATATCTGCAAAATGCAAATAAAGCCAAGGAAAACGCCATTAACATGAAGTCCCACCAGAGCTGTATCTGACCAACAAGCATGAATATAATTAAACCCAATGGGACCATGCCAGTAAACGAGGACTATGCAAAAAAGGATTGCATTACAGCACTGATGCTTACCTCCGCTTGTTTTGTACAGAGCGGCAAACTGACCACCACCTACAGATCACAAGTTTAAATGTTTTGAACAGACCTGAGCCTTCCCTCTGTGACCATTTCCAGCTAACAATCCAGTAGATTACATGACAGCACATGATAATTACTGAATGCTCACTGGAAAAGTACAGCAGTTACTAAAGACTACCACTGTGGTAGCAGCCACTTCAATTAGCACATGGAATTTGCCTTTTTTTTTTTTTAAATACTAAAGACCAGAGAACAGCAATGTATTCCTTTAGCAATAGCATACCATAAATTGTTTGTAGCACCTTGCAAATGTTAATGAGCCAGTTTTAATAATATCAGACTAGGCATTTCCCCCACCATATAAACTAGCTCAAACACGTTGATCTCAAGATCACTGCAAAGATCAGTCATTCTTTCAGACTAGGATTTCTCAAAGGAATTTAGTCAAACAAGATATTCATAGTCCATTAAAACAATAGGAATAGGGTTTCTAAATATCAGAGGTAGCCTAAAACCAAAAAATCCTAGGTGCTGGAGGCATGAAGACTGGTTATGACTTGCTTTAGTATCCAAAACATTAGAAATAGCCAAAACAAGTCACAGTGACTGTTACCTCCACATCATTCACGGAAAACATGAAGCCAAAAGTTTATATGAATCATCTGAAGTCCTAGAATGAGTCAATGTCAGAACTATGACTGGAACTCTGGAACGTGTGTCCCAGAGTCTCATGTCTATCCTAGCCTATGACCACATGACATGATTTCATTGCATATCCAGGTTGATACCTTTGCTTCTGTACCAATATTGCTATCATTTCTATAGTCATGAGCTCATAAGTCAACTTGCAATATTACTGAAAGAAACAGTACAGCCTCCAATCTGCCAGTAGCAGTACTATGGGAACACTACTCGTTGCTCCATATTTAAATGGTAAGCCTCCTACCAAGGCCTATAAACCAACAGCTTGTACTCTTCTGCTAAGAAGGGTCATGCACTCTATGTAGTCCATTTCAGCATTTTCCCCCCTCTTTCTCATCTGAAGGGCCACAGACAATCAGAATTGTATCCCCTCCCAGTACAGTCAGGAAACAGTAAGGATCAGGGCCTGTCTTCTACCCCACAGATCTACACACACACCGGCAATCCTTGTGATATCCAACTAAACCATGTCATAGGCATGTGATTTTGCATATTGTGTCTCCTCCCTATTTACAAGCCATGTGAAACAGTATCATAGGCTTCCAGTGGACCAGAAATATTTTTCCCATGTTTCCTTTCACAGTAGCTGGTTTACATGTCCATTTGGTGAAAGATTCTGAGTCTGTATTCCTCATTACACCATTACTTGATCTGACTGCATAGTAGCAAGAGAAAAGGCACTTATGTTTCTGTGCACTGTGCTACTACCAAAAGCAGTCAAGAATGCAGTATCATTCAACCCAAAACCTGTTACTAAACCACAGGAGGAAGAAGAAAAAAAAAAAACCAAACTCCCCCATGAACCAATACATTATCTGTTTGATAGGAAACAAAGACAGAAACAGGCCTTTAACAAATAGAATAATCTGTGATGACTGTCAGTGGCACATACCTTTTGCTGATGTCTGATGCATGCGGATCTTTTTTGATGCCACAAACTGTAAGACTTTATCCACATTTTCCCTCATCTCCTGCTGGCTGGTGGGGTTGACCTGAATGTCATTCAGCTTCTCACCAGCTAAAGGAGTGAAAAAACTTTATTAGAGAAGAAC